CGCTACGATTCGCTGCAAAAGGCGATCGAAAAGGAGAAGAAGGCTCAAGAGCACGGGGATCAGCACGGCACGGTGGGTTGTGTGGCCATGGATAAGGACGGCAACCTTGCGGCAGCGACCTCCACGGGCGGCATGACCAACAAACGCTTCGGGCGAATCGGTGACGTGCCGGTGATCGGCGCGGGCACCTACGCCAACAATGCCACGGTCGCCGTTTCATGTACCGGTCGTGGGGAAGAGTTCATTCGCCACAACGTCGCCCATTCGGTGTCGGCGATGATGGAGCACAAGGGCTCGAGCCTCCAGGAAGCCGCAGACGCGGTGATCCACGGCAAGCTGGCGAAAGACGACGGAGGTCTGATTGCTGTCGGCGCTGACGGCTCCATTGCCTTGGTCTTCAATTCGTCGGGCATGTTCCGCGGCGCCGCCGATTCTTCGGGGCGGTTTGAAGTCGCTATCTGGGAATAGGACCGCAGGAGCAAGACGTGCCTAGAGAGAATCGACTTGCCGGCGAGATCAGCCCTTATCTCCTGATGCATAAGAACAACCCCGTGGATTGGTACCCATGGGGCGAAGAGGCGCTGACCAAAGCGCGGGACGAAGATAAGCCGATCTTTTTGTCCGTGGGTTACTCCACCTGTTATTGGTGCCACGTCATGGAACGGGAATCCTTTGAGGATGCCGGGACCGCCAAGCTGATGAACGACCACTTCGTCAACATCAAAGTGGATCGGGAGGAGCGGCCGGAGCTGGATGAGATCTACATGGCCGCGACCCAGCTCTTCACCGACAGCGGGGGGTGGCCCAACTCGGTATTCCTGACTCCGCAGCTGACTCCGTTCTTCGCCGGCACCTATTTTCCGCCCCACGACCAGGGGCGACGACCCTCATTCAAGACCGTGCTCCTGTCCATGCACCATGCCTGGCAAGAACGTCGGGACGACGTCGAGAAGCAAGCCGAAGAAATGGCAGTGGCCATGCGCCAGATGCTCGAAGAACGAGGGGCACCCACGGACACGGTCGCTCCGGGCTCGGTGCTGCAAAAAGCCAAGGAATCCTTAGTCCGAAGGTTCGACCAG